AGTCCATGTCGAATAAAATTGAAGTCTTGGAGAAAAAGATCAACGAGAAAAAAGATAATCCCAAACTTGTTCCTTCCCCATCTCTTGGTAATCAACCCACACACGTAGTTGCACAACAAGTATGCACACACATAGTGCAAGTCCTCGACCCTATGAGCACTACTGTTATCATTTAGGGTCCGACGAGTTGCCTATGCTACCACCTATGTACACAATCAGAAGAATTTGAATTTCTTCAGCGGACGTCGGTCAGCTAGAATGGCGGCCGTAAAAGTATCGAGTGCTTTCTTGTCAAATATTTTTAACGAAAAAATAATTGTTCGCCTTATGGTTGCTACCTCGCTGTAAGGTTTATGTCGCGTGTAATTTCTCCTGGATGGACCTAGAGAGCTCTAATGTCTTCTCCTTGACGCTATTTTCGTAGTTAGTGACAATTTCACTAAGTCTGGTTTTGTATTCAGTATCGTTCTCTAGTGTTTGGACTGCCATTTCCTCCCGGTCAACGTCGATGCCTTGAGCCTTTAATTTTAGTTTGAATGCCTGGACGTTTTCTGATGACTTGATTAAGTCGGTAAGGAGTTTTTCAGAGTCGTTAATAAAGCCCTTGATCCAGAGGCCGAAGGCGTATTTTGCGCTGACGCCCTTGAAATCTATGGCGGTCATGGATCCGTCCGGATTTCTTTTCAGAACGTTCATGGGTGGGCAGTCGTCATCGGGCTTGACGGGTAGCATAAAGGGGTTCCAGTATGGTTGTGTGATGAACCTGGCATTAAGCTCTTTGAGTATGTCGGGTAGCTGTACTGCTTCGTGACTTGGGAACTCGCATGAACTGTGGCCCAAAAAGAGTATGAGCGTGTTCGTCAGACAGAGCATCGCCAATACCGGAATATACTCGTCAAACCTTCGGCTCAGATTGCACTGAGGCACCACCACGAGGTCAGGGTGGAAAGGGTGATTCGGATTCGTAAGGATGGGCGAAACTTTAACACCGTTCACCTCCTGACAAGTCAAGTGCGCGGTCTTGGTCTGTTTCTTCACTGACTCCGAATCTAAAAACTCCAAATAGGCTCCTTTATACAGCCGACATAGTAGCTTGTGAGACACACCCCGGACCATGGACGTCTGCGACAATTGCGGAGAAAGATAGTCACTAGCCGTCAGTGTCTTCGAGTACGGATCACTAGGGTCACAAAACCCGATCATAATCGTCTGCAAATTATCCAAGGATGGCAACCTCTTCAACATACTACTCCATTTCACCTCCATCTCGTCGTCACCTCGCGCATTCAACACATGTATCGTAAATGGGTTCGTACCCGTACGCGTTAAAGCATGAGCCACACTCATTCTCTCTTCTGCCTTCAATCCTAGTTCACCGCATCCTAGTTCACCGCATCCTAGTTCACCGCATCCAACTTTAGGGCTAACACCACTTCTAGAGTCGCCCTCAACTGGTACCCAAGCTAACTCAGGCAACGTAAGACGAGCACCTGAACATAAATCAACCATAATGTTCTTTGGCCGTTCCACCATATAAGGAAACAAGACACAGTCCAAGCCGTACAAAACAGACAATGGTAGAGAATGTTGCAATACGGTTTTGTCATCAACCAACCTCTCATGTGTGTATACTGACAACCACATCTTGTCATGCCAGTCATCCAAATCGCCATCCACGTGGTCCTGCTGCTCAACCCTTGTAGGCGTATCTGAAAGCGGTATCTTACACTTCCACTCGATCATCTTCTGCCTCAAATCATTCACTGCCCCATAATTATTACCCGTCACCGCTTCATCACCCATCACCGCCTCACCCCTCACGGGCTCGTCAGCAATAAGGATGGACCGATATTGTTCCACATCCAGTCGCGGCTTTTCGATCACAGGCTCGGAGCGTATGTCTTTGATAGCATTCAAGTCCACCACTGTTTTCGGCGATTTCTGGCGCGAATCTCTTTCCTTTATCACAAGTTCATTGTACAAAACTTTGAAAGCAGCTTCCTCCGGGTGGAGTTGTATACCTCTTCTCAAAATTCCAACTGCCTTCTCGAAATCTTGAAGGCCATCGTAGACCTGGGCCAACCGAAAAATTGCCTTGCTGTTCGTCGGATCGTGGTCCATAATAACCATCAGATGCTCCTTAGCCATCACGTAGTCCTCGTACTTGATGAAACCTTGCGCAATATTCAGCCGGAGACGCGTCTGCAATGCAACCCACTCCATTGAAGGGTCCCGGACACTCTTCTGCAGCGCTCTCTTCAATCCCTGCTTCCACATCTCCACCGCCTCCATGTACTTCTCAGTCTCGTATAAACGGTTTCCTCGCTCCTTCAACTCATACGGGTCTTGACACAGATAGGCCGGGACTTCACCAGACGGCAACTCATCAACTGGCGTTTCACTCACTGCCGCCCCACCATGACACTCCCTATCCCCGTCAGGACCATTATCCAAACTCTTGCCGGTATCTAGGGTCGATTGCCCCTCAACCTTCGGGTTCTCCGACTGCTCCTCAGGTAACGACATGACCAAGCAAAAAATTCACAAAACGGACCACCCATACCGCCACAAATAACCACCTAGCCACACAGACCACCCAGCCATACAGACGAGACTACTCAGGCAAGTAGTTGCTCTAAGCTGAATGCCTGCCCGCTAACTATGATTGATATTCCACCAATTATGCTCCTGACCCGTCATCATATTCCTGGCTCGTCATTATGTGTCCTAACGCGCCGTGACTTGAAGTCCTGGCAACGGCTTGGGACAAAGGCTTTGGAAAAAGGCTTTGGACGCCCGTGATGTGCGTGGCTTTAATTTACCCTTGGATGTTCTTATCTGAGATTAAGTCTATAAAGGTGGTTGGGCATTTCGGACATGCTTGAAGCAGCACCGTCTTCAGGTCGACGCGGTTGGGATCAAGTGCGGCGAGAAACGCCACTGAGCGAGCGGACAGCCAAACCCCACTTAGCGGCATGGCCATCAAGTTTAGGCAACGCCCGTAACTAGTGGTCAAATCCACTGAGCACTGTTCTGGTAGTTCACGACACACGGCTTCTAGATACAGCAACGGATTCTCACGAATGAGAGGTTTCAGGTTGAACCCAAGACGAGAAACCACGATGAACTCGCAGATATGTAAATGCCTCTGCCACTAAAACAAAACCATATGAGCACACGTGTACCTCATACAAGCTCAATGCGAGTACATGTGGGAGCAATAGGTCTACTCTGTACATCGACATCTTGACGTAGCTTACCGCTTCTGCGTAATACACATCTTCCTTGAGATTGTACATTCTGCACAGACATGAGTAGAACTGTTTTTTTGTTCGTCTTTGATTGCAGAGTTTACCGGCAAGCAGCAACGTGGACGCAACGACCAGTAACGTCTCCCGGTCTTCAGGAAGGTCTTGAACGGTGGCGAGGTCGGGTATCTGATCACGAACCAAGTTCGGGGACAGATACCAACAGCCACAGAAACGGGACCAGAGGCAAAGGCTGGAGGTGAAAACGTGCGGCGAGTAGCCCATCAACCGCCCCATATGTGCAGGCAGGTACCGGAGATTGTTGGATAAGCGGGAAACGAAAGCCTCGTAACACTCAACACGCTCCTGCAGGGGTCGTGGCGCATCTGAACACACACGTGTGCGGCCTTTCTGTCCAGTCCACTGGAATTCTTCCTCTTCATTATATAGCCCACGATATTCCAATAGGTCTATTTCCTCTTGCTCGTCGTGAACTGAAACTCCACCTGCCGAGCTCATCAGCACAACTCCAATGATAAGCTACCTTAAAAGACAACTACTGCTTACGTCGGCCACTAGCTGAAGTACTTGAATATTTTATATTGCCACAGAGCCACAACCTTTGGGCTCTACAGGGTTCACATCCCCCTTGCATACTTCTTTAGTGAGCCCGTTCCTTTCAAGTTAGGCCGTTCCTCTCTGGCTGGGCCGTTCCTTTCAAGTTAGGCCGTTCCTTTCTAGTTAGAGGGTTGCTCTCTGGTCGGGTGATTGCTCTCTGGTCAGGTGGTTGCTCTCTGGTCAGGTGGTTGCTCTCTGGTCGGGTGGTTCATGAGCGTCTCCATCAGTTGCGAGGTTGCCCGCCAGTCCAGATTCCCTTGTATTCTACGGTTCCCTCTAATCTCGGTACCCACGCAGTGGTGTTGATACCTCCGCTGCGTTGGTACTTTCGGAGGTTTTGGTAAGGTTTTGCTAGTTGTTGAGTTTCCGGAATTTGCGTAGCGTCTTGCTGTGTTCTTCAGCAGTGGCTTCTTTAACGAGTTGGGCTGTTGCTGAGTTTTTGGGATTGTTGATATCTCGGTCTTTCCACTTGGACTTCATGACCTTGATGGGACGGTTGCCGACGTATTTACGATTCATAGTCTTGATGGCGGCGAGCATGTCATAGGGGCTGAGGAAGGAGACGAAGCCATAACCCTTACTCTTGCCGGTGCGACTATCGCGGACGACTCGGGCGCGCTGGAAGGAACGGAAATGCTTGAAGGCGGTGCTCAGAATCTCGTCCGTCACCTCGTTGCCCAAGTCGCCGCAAAATACACGGTAGTCGTCGGTCGCCCATTCGTTCAGCGTCGGGTCCACCCAGGTACGTCCACCGGCCCGTCGTAAGTTCTTCGTCTCCTTCAGAACCTTCCCGCTCGTCTTCCGGCCGTCTACGTACAACTTGTCTGCTCTCGCTCCTTTGCCGCTGGGCTCCTCCACGGTAAAGGGTTTCTCCATGGTAAAGGGTTTTGTTAGCAAGGCAGACTTGGCATTTCCTGTGGAACTCTGCCCACTCGAAGCTGATGTAATAACCATGCCAGTGGCAACTGGCATGTTGGTGGCCACAAGACCAGGGGGCATGTTTGTGGCCACAAGACCAGGGGGCATGTTTGTGGCCACAAGACCAGGGGGCATGTTTGTGGCCACAAGACCAGGGGGCACGTTCGTGGCCACAAGACCAGGGGGCATGTTCGTGGCCACAAGACCAGGGGGCATGTTCGTGGCCACAAGACCAAGGGACACGTTCATAATACCGCTGGCAGCAACTGCCCCAGAGGAGTTTAATCCAACCTGTCCGGTTTGGTTGACCAATCCAAAAGGAGCACCAAGAACGGGCGGTGGCAAAACAGGCAGCGGCGGCGCGGCTCGGAGGGCCGCGGACGTTGATAGAGCGGCGGAGACCAGGGGGTTTGGAACAGGGTTGGGAATAGGCGTGGCCATAGGGTTGGGTATTCCCCCCATCGGGATGGGTATTCCCCCTATCGGATTCGGCATTGGTATCGCAACCGGAGGAGGAGCCGGAGGGCTCGCTACGAGCCCTACCGTGGTCCCATGGCTCAGGGAAGCATGACCAAGAGAACCATGGTCGGATATAGTTGGTGGTGGGCTTGGATTAAAGCTGGGACTTGTGCCAGCGGAGTATTGTCTTGCATCCGAGGTTTGAAGGGGCATCCGGGAATTTCGGCTCAGGGAAATATGGATGTGTATGATGAGGTAGCAAAGGTCAAGATTCTAGCCGTCGACGTTGAGTTACAAGACCTATTTGCAGGAGGGGGTGGAGGCAACACGACGAGCCATATCAGTTCGGCGCCTCTAGTCCCGAAGAGGAAGGACCGTCTCCTCTTTCTAGGAGCACCCCCCGACTTGGCTGCAAATGCTACCTCCACTCCAAAAGACCCTCGGCGGTACCTTGTTATAAGCAACCTGCATTGGGCTGTGAACGACGTAGACCTAATTGACGGTAGGCCTCCTCTGTTCAGCCACACCGGTCCCGTGTCCTCTGTTAACCCGCACCGCCACCCTCTACTGTTCACCGCCGTCCCTCACCCCGTCCCTCACCCCGTCCCACCAAATGTTTGCCATCTACCGATGTAGGAGCGTCTGCTTATGGAGCAGTAGGAGGTGTTTATATTTTCGAAGACGCTCAGCGCATGCATAAGTCTGAAGGGATTGCGTTGCTGGAGTTCAGGTCTGTAAGTGCCGCGGAATCGGCCTTCAAGGATGAGGGGAAGGCCTGGCAGGCCAAACAAGCTGACCGGAAGTGCGTTTTGACTCCGGCTCCACAGAATGTGGTTTCGACTCTGGAGTCGCTGAGTCTTAAATACGGCTGCTGGAGCCGCACTCCACTACTAGCTCCGGCTGTCATAGCCGGAGTTTGGAATTCTCTAGGGAAGCCATTGCCGGCAACAACCACCATGACCACGACCAAACAAAATGTCGTTGACCACGCCAAACTTCCGGTTCCTATTGCCGTCCAATTAATCATTGATAAGCTGGCTAACAAACCCACTTGAACAGCCGAGCACAGATGACCGTCGTAAACTAGCACGGTCATCAACCACCAACTAAATATCGTGGCGTAAATTTCCGCGTGGTAACTGCGTAAACAGAGCTTGGTTGAAGCGGCGACCTTGGTAGCAAATCGAAGTCCACTCGAAAGCAATACTCTTGGAAGAAATACCACTCAGGGGCAATACTACATCGGAGAAGACCAGGTGGAGACCGTACTCGTTGGAGACCGTACAAGTTGTAAGGAGTCTGTCTGGCTGGAGGTGACGTGAGTGGGAACAATGACTTGAGCGCAATGCGAGTTGGACGCAACCCAAGTTGAAGGCAACCCAAGTTGAAGGCAACCCAAGTTGAAGGCAACCCAAGTTGAAGGCAGATGGCTGCGCCGGCTAGGCCTGTAATCTTGTCCGCTATGACCTTGTCAGGTGATGTCGATTCGTCAGGGTTTCAGCACGGAGGAGGCGGCTGGAGGGAGCATTTGTGTTTGATGGATGTCACCTTGAAGAGTTTTCTGAAACGACTGGAAGAACGCGGTGTGTTACGACAGTCACGAGGCTGTGGCGATCACGAGGCTATCGCGGTCACAAAGTAATACAGTATCCCGCCTATTAGGGGAGGTCGTAACCAGTACCATGCTAAATGGAGCAGGTCGGTGGGGTCGCAGGCTCGATAGACCTTCTTGAATAAGGTGCGCAAATCTTTGTGGGCGCATTTGGGGGCATAGCAGCGAAAGGGTTGCTCGGATAGCTCCCAGGCTATGGTTTTTGTATCTTTTGACAACATTAGAAAGCGGGAACTGCTGTGAGCTGGAACCGTTTGTTCCCAGTTGCCGTACACCATTGAACAGGGGAGTGATGAACCCTGTGCGTCTACTGGCTGAGCAGGATCGAATGTAGGTCTTGCTGCCATCAACGACTCATCAAAAAGATCACTATCTGAACCATGCTCTGACAATATAGAGAATCCCACCTGTTCGGTAACGTCAGCATGACTGATTCATATTTATCCAGCGGTGCCTTGTAACAGGTCGCGAGACAACAATAAAAAAAGAAGCCGACCATAGCACACGCGTGTTCGATGGCATCGCGCCGTTACGGTCATGAGACCGGGAGCATCATAATGGACGTGGCAACGTAAGCACAAATATTGGTGGGACATCTGGTATGCAGAGCTTTGTTGAACGGTGAAGATATGGATGTAAAGATGCTAGAGGAGTATGCAAATATTGTATTAGACCGTAAGTCGTAGATAGTTTAGCTCACTGAGCACTGTTTTGCTGAGCACTGTTTTACTGAGCACTGTTTTGCTGAGCACTGTTTTAGTGAGTAGCCTATTCACTAATACTACGTAGTATATTTCTTTGGTTGCAGTGTATCGAGTTCGTTCCAAGAACGATGACATTTTACAATTGGATCTCGATTTCCCTCTTCCGCCGAGCACTTCTTTAATTGACAATATAAAGCTGTATAGAGGTGATTGGAGTTTAACCGATGCTAGTTGCGCGAACGAGCACTGTGATACAGCGTTGATGGATGAGTTGGCGAGGTTGAGTGGCGGAGAAGCGGATACGAAGAACAAGGCTCTTTTGTTTCTGCGGAAGATATGTTTGCGTTGTAGTATTCCTATTCCTTTCTGTTCGATTTGTAATGACGCATGTTTCCATACAATGATACTATGTACTCATTGCTTGCCTGCCGTACAGCCTGCGTCGGGTATTAGGTTCAGTCGTATGCGGAGTTACGGGAATCCGGAACGAAATTATGGTAACGCAGACGGACCGCTTGCGCAGTGCATTGTTCGACCAGTGTGTGTGCTATGTCGATCACGTTACCGGTGTCCTGTTATGCGGCCTGTAAACACAAGATCATCTATAGGTTGCAAGAGTCCGGTATTATTGAACAGATTTTCATTTGAGTCGCTTCAATTGTTGCTCCACCTGGCTTACTCAACGCTGGCCGAATTGGGGGAACCTGAACGCCTTGAAAGACTAAGGCCTATTGTTCAACACCAAACGTGGCGGAATCTACAAAGAGGTCCAAAATTGTGCGACGTCACCGAACTCTGCAATGCCAAGAAGGCCATACAGAATCAATGGCAGCGCACCATGGACAATGGCATTATAACTAGCACTACCGACAACGGGACAGTTTCAATATATCAGATCCGGGAAGATGATGTTGTCATGATGCAAATTGCCAACAATCGAGGGAATTTTGAAGAACTTTATGACCCCTGTCAACTTTTACCCGTTCCCTCAAGGGCTCGGTCTGACTTAAGCTGGATCTATTATTGGCTCGCATTAGCTAAACATGCTCCCACAACTCAGACTGACAGTGAACCTGGTTGGCTAGTATACAACAACTAGTCTGGAACCCCCCCCCCCCCCCATGTACTAGCCAGCAATCATTAGCTAGCTATCATTTAGCCAGCTATCATTTAGCCAGCTAAATTCCTAGCTAGCAATTTAGCTTTTGGGTAGGAATTAGTCCTAAAATATTCTTTGAGTTAAAAACTACATGAGATTAGAGGTAGGTTTGCTAAGAGAGAAAGATGAGAGTGAGGACATATATCATCAGCTGACTGATTTGATTGAAAGACATGAATACGATCTATCAAAAGAATGTTTCCGTCTAGCGGCAGAGAGGTTGTCTGATGATAGGATGATGCAACTATGGGATACATGTTTACCAAGTGGTTATCAACGGTACTTTGTATTTCGTTGTAAGATGCAGAAACGGCGGACACTAGTCCATCGGCTTTTGACGGAGACAGCGTTCGGTCGATCAGCAGTGATGACTAAGGCATTGAATAGTGAACATCAAGGCAAAGAGGATGATTTGCAGACATCACTTCATATAATTAAATGGTGGGCATATCTGGAGGACTTATATGTGAGAAATTTTTTCAAGGTTGTCGAGTTTAATGAGGAACTTAGGCAATTGTTTATATCGAAAATTTCACCCGGATTTTTGACGAAGTATCCAGACGAGTTATGTGAAAATGTATTCATACCAACAATCTCTAAGTCTCCGAAACTTGTGTGGGAAAGCATACAGCCATTGCTGAACAAGAAAATTCGTTCTCGTCTCGTTTGGGAAGTCGTTGCAAGAACGAATTATCGAGGATTTGATTGGAAAACAGTTCCTAACGAAGGCTTGGAAGAATTTTTTGTGCTTTACACAAAAGGTTTGGTTGACGCAAGAAATTCATTGTACGAGAATCGCCACCACAATGATCGGCCGCAATTCTTTACACCACATCAGCGCAATGGCATGATGCGTTGGTGGTCCAAGAGAGTGCCGGAAAGACTGACCCTGCTGAACGAACATTGGAATGATAATATACATCGCATTCCCTTGGAGCTATTGTTACACCCGGCACTTGCGGCTTTCGAGGGCGTGTTTGAATCCGTAGACTATTGTGATTTATTTGAGAGATATGTCAAGTGGGTTTGTGACCAAAGGGAAACAGACTATCAGAAATGGAGTGGAACTCAGGTCATCGAACCTATTGGTCATGGATCAGTGAGTGGTCATGGATCAGTGAGTGGTCATGGATCAGTGAGTGGTCATGGATCAGTGAGTGGTGAGTTTGTTTTATCACCAAGAGCATCAAGTCTTGCTAGCACTTGGAGTGACTTGGCCGTACGTTGCACGTTGCCTTACGAATTTTGGTGTTTACCCGAAGGTCTACGTATTATGTACTACCAAAATGTTCTGGCAGATACCCCCGAATGCGAAATATTCCAAGAGTATTACAGGCTGTGCGTCGGACTAAAACCGAAGGCTGACGGTAAATTGGATGTTCTGCCGTTCTCTAAATTCAGAGACATGCAGAATACAGATGTGCGAAAGCATATGGAATGTCAGTATGCGGCTCCCTACAGAGCTATGTATAACAGATGCCTGCGTGGTGGCTATACAGACTGGATTTATCTTCTAGCCATCCTTATGCCGTACTTACCCTCACGTCCAGATTTATATCAACCCGCACGATCCAGTAACATTGTCGGAACCGAAATGATGAGCAATCTCCTAACGGTTACAAAACCACCCGAACCAACAACCATCGTGCCCGTTGTGTGCACGAAATACCACAAGCTAACACACTTGCAGTGGCTCAGTGAACGCCGTTCCTCAATTCGTCTGGACAATATGACTGAGTGTGCCTGTTTAGATTTGTTTAACAGGATTGCAAGCGTCTATCCCACACAAGAAGTTCTGTCTGCTACTGATGAGGCTGATCAAACGAAGTGGCATAATAGGCAGAAGGATTGGATCCTATCCTTGGCCCTTCAGGTTTCAAGATCGCTGCAGGAACTTATAGTTGCACTTGATCTATTGTATCTTCAAGACCAATTGGAAGATCCTCAACATCACTCATACTCGGTGGATACTTCGGTGGCACCGTGGCTGGGCAATCCCATCTTTGTTCACCATCAAACCAGCATAATCAATACTCTGGAGCCGAAAGTAGAACTTCGTTGGGCTGAAGCTCTAGAGCTATATGGCGATCAACTACAGCCTTACGTTAAGGTGACGACCGACCAGTTGACGACCGACCAGTTGACGACCGACCAGCCGACGACCAGGCTAGAAAGGAATATCGGAGTGTATGTTGCCAGCAAGGATGTAGATGCCGTGGCAGAGATTATTGGACGGGATACCAACATTCCCGGTGAAACGTGTGTGTCGGGAGAGAAGAAGTTAATCCCATATCGGAACTATTGTGAGTGGTGTGTTAACTTGGTCATGACAAGAGGTGGCTTGTCGAAGGAGCATGATCCGCATTCGGACCTTGGTGTTGTGCATTATTATGGAATGTCAACAATGTCTTCCTCGGCTAAATCGCCTTATACAAACGTGTCGGTAGAAAGAAATAATATTTCTGTAGAGTGTGCGGTAGTTATCGAACACATTTTGTTCAATAAAGGAAACAGATTACATAAGAACCACATTGATCACATTACTGAGCGACAAATACGATTAGTGAGAGAATTATTGACGCGTCAGTTTAGTCGAATTTCGTGCTCGCTACAGAATTGGTACGAGCTTGCACCTTCTGTCCATCGTCACCTGCCTGAGAACTGGCGGTACTCTCATACCAAGGAAAGTGGTTGCTGGAGATATATAGAATCACTACCTAAAAATCTGGTGCCATATATTGACGATCTTCTCACCTCAGTTGCTTTCCAAGGAACAGATTTGACCCCCCTCATTATTAAACAGATGGATAGATATGGCATCCCTCCAATTCCGAACCATCATCTACTGCACCCTTGTGACAATAATGCAGGGAATGACAATAATGCAGGGAATGACAATAATGCAGGGAATGACAGGAATGCAGGGAATGACAACTCTTTGGAGTCTGCAGGGAATGAGTTGCAATTTGAGAATATTGTTACGTTAATGAATGAGATAAGAAACCTACAATATCGACTACAACTAAGAAGCAGCATCCCGAACAGTAGTAGAGGTGTACTACGGAAGTGTCTGGGATGTTTTGATATATTTGTAATGTTGGCTAAAAGTGTTTGGCATCATCCGGTAATCATAAGAAGGTTATATCTAATCGGTAGACCAGACTTGTTAACGGAAAATTTAGAATCATGCCTAGTTGTAGAGAGACCTTTGCGTTGTGAAATATTGGATAATCTTCAGCACGCTCAAATTCCTAGTTGGATTAGAGTAAACAAAACCTGGCGATATAAGCAGGCCATAACTGGCCGAATGGAGCATGGGAAAAGTAATGAGGGTATGAACTGTGAAGAGGAGGTTTCATACCATATGCCGACTGGGATCACATCATTTGATCGACGACTCAGTTTGGCTCACATTGCCTGGTTTACTGGATATGTTACTGAGAAAACATGGCACGGTGGGGTTCAGCGTACAAAGAAGTCCGTTAAAAAGTTTATTGATCACATGAGCTTTGATCAGGCATTTGCTCTTGGCAAACATTCTTTATCTTCATATGAAAGAGCATGGTGGTTAGCTTCCAAGAGCAACTCTTTACAGAACACTCTGGACCATCTGGCTGTCCTGATTCAAGATGAAGAAAGAGGTGTGTATGCATTAAGAGCTATGGATTATCTAATAAATTATATTCCACAAATAAACGTGCGGCGAACACTAATGCTAACAAAGCCTCCAATATTATTCCAGGCGAAGAAAGCTTTGAATGGAATTAAACTGAGACTCGCACAGATATATACTCCCGGAGACATGCTGATGATTAGCCGTATGGACCCAACAGATACATTGTATTTCAAGGATACTAATGTCGCACAACAAATTGCTCTGAGAGAAATAAGTCAAATGGACGTGTTCTTAGAGGAAGCGTTCAACGAAGGAATACTGGCACCAATAGCTGGTAAGCTGAGCATTGCGTTGTCTGATAATCGCATGGTTGAGAGCTTTTTGCGATTGCCCTTAACTGACGACGTGGTTCAGCGGATATTAAAACCTCATAAACCTGGCGATATTCACGTGAGTGGAATGAACCACTCGAAGAAATGCTTCGGAGCTAAATTGTTGTCGTCCTGTACGTTGGAACAATTCGCCATGATCATGGCCAATTGCCCCGAAAATTTGACTCACATTCCGAATCACTTACAAAACACTAAGAATCCGGATCTGGCGTTGTTTCTGCAATTACTCAGCAAATTTGCGGTTCCGGAATACCACGATATCTACCGACACATAGTGGCAACCTTATCGCCGTGGGCTACATATGTTCTTGAGAACCGCATCTGGAAGAACCGACAACAACCTCATCCTAACCATAAGCACTATCTACCATTGAAATTGGCTATTGTTGCACGCTCCTATCGGGACAGAGAACCCCATCTCCTGAATTCCCTCCCTTTTCCCGATTATTGATTGGTCCTAGCTTTTTTCCTCAGACTCCCGTAGTGTCGAATCGGGTCACCATTCTCAGTAATCTCCCTCATGAATTCGGGACCAAACAAAAAGCACTCTTCGGGGAGGCAGAACTAGCACCGACCAGCCCATGTTCGATGGCGTGATCTCTCGCCCCATTGTTTATCACAATTTGATTCCATTAGCAACCCATGGCAGTAAAGTCCAGAGAGAACGCAAGTGATAAGGCCGACAGCTTTCACAACAACTAAGACAGGCGAGAACACTACCAGTCCATTCATCAAACAAAAATCTCACTAACCCAGGTGCGTGCGCCCTTGGATTTTGCGCTCTCTGATTTTGCGGTACAGTTTCAACCAATATGCCTGACAAGGATCGCAGCCAATGCAACTCCCATAACACTCCGGTCGTGGTTACACCACTCCAGATCAGCAGTCCATTCCCGATCACCATTCCATTCCCGATCACCACTCCATTCCCGACCACCACTCCATTCCCGATCGACAGATCCGTAAATACAATCTTGGGATCGGCAACTGCCGGGTGTAAGGTGACGGGCGGATGTTCCATAGAGGTGTCTGTGGAGGGGGGCCATCCATCTCTCACACGCAACCCTGCACCGATCACCGGCCATGCGGACACTGTTCTCTTCACCACACACCGGTCACTTACTATTTCGACCCACCCGTGACAACCATGGGCCTCTCGTCTACGGTCGCTTAATACTTCGACCAATCGTAGATCAGTGGTGCGTCGTCATCCCAAACTCTTCACAACCATGGGCCAGTCCCCTCCTAGTCCAGCTGTTAACCGTGGGCCACTGGGATGCCGTCGGCGCGTACTCTTGCTAGCCACATGTCACTCGTCAGTTAGCACTTCATTCTTCCGTCAACCACCGGCCAGTCCCGAGTCATCAACGCGTGCTTACGACAGCCGATGGCCAGTCTCCGGGCCGGCGTAGTTCTTCAGCCAGCCGCTGGCCACCGTAGTGTCATCAACGCATGTCGGGTCCAGTCTCCTGCAACCGGTTCGTATGTCGGGTCCGTATGTGGGTCACTTTCTGGGTAGTAACCGTTCACACCTCCTCTCAATACGAGCCGGCACGAATGTGGGCCAAGTTCGAAACCAGAATGGTCTGGGCTCAGTGTATTGGAGATCGGTAATTGCATCTGTGCTGGATGTTAAAGCGGATGACAAAAAACCAGGAATTAGAGCTTTAATCGTGGCAGTGCAGCTGGTTTTGGGAAGAGGGAAGAGGAAGAGGGCCTCAGTGGAAGAGTGGATTTCTTGGGCCTTAGAGGCGGACGGGAAGCTTCAAGGTGTCAAAGCCGCAGCTGTTGTTGATAACTGGAGACCAGCTATGGATAAGTTGCTCAAGAGGTTAGGAGATGCCGCCGAGAATGGAAAGTTGTCTGCTAAGCACTACAGGGTCGGGAGTGGTGACAGGGGCGGTCACAGGACCAGGAGTGGTCACGGGACTGGGGGTAGTCACAGGACAGGGGTCCGGGATGTCAGCAGAAGACCCATCGCAAGGGGCAATCATCACGCCGAGGTCGCTGTTATCTTCGCCGAGATGCGGCTTCCAGAACATGACACCACCTCCGTATCCAACCTCATTCCAAGCCTTGCAAATGAACTCCCGCAGCTGAGAAATGAGGACTTAACCGTCCCAGCTGCGGGACGGTTCAGCACCGATCATGAGGTAGTGATCATGATCGGCACCGAGGTTCGCAAGATCGGCCCAGCTATCCGGTAGAGGGTTCACGTGGGGTGACTGAGGAGCAGAAGTAATAACACCCTCAGGCCATACCGAGCGGCAAGCAATGGTTGCTTTGCTCCCCCAATCCAAAATGCTGGTATCCGTCGTACCGAAACCTTCCTTATCGAAATCAACGCCGTCAACATTCAAGCTTTTGATCAAATTGCAGAGATCAGTACCGTACGTCGTAGCATCCACGGCCTTCCAATTCAGACCCTCCGATTCACCCCCCGACGAGATCATCAGCTTGGTCCCGTTGGCATGGAGCTTGTCAACGAAGGCCTGCCGTTCCGACTCCGTTAACGCGACCCAGGCAGACACGGTGCCAGCAATGTTCTCGGGGAATCCGGGGTTTCCAACAAGGTGGAAAGCAAGCAGAATCGCGCTCACTCCAAGCTCAGACAACTTGTACAGCTCGTCAGTAAGTGCGGAGCCAGTGTAGTTCCAGTCATCAACGTAGACGTAAACAGGAACACGTTCGCCGGCGAGTGCGGAAGCCCCAGTACAGAAGCAGTGATAGAGATCTCATAGCCAAATACACTTAGTGTCTCCAAGAAGGCGAAACAGGTCGGTAACTTGCTTCATCCGAAACACACCGTCAGTGATATATTCAACCCAGCCGTTATTAACGGGCTCAGCCTGCTCTGCGGCATGGACAGTGCGGTGCTTATCATCATCCGGTAGAT